GTGTTGTTACACTTCCACTGTCGTACAAACTTTGCTTTTCTGTCAAACCACCTCTGAACTACGAAAACCAGTTGTGTATGTTGAGGGCAATTGTGTCTTCTTGCATTGTTTTCTTTGGTCTGGCCCTGCTGGTTTTATCATCAGCACTTCTCCTCCGGGCACTGGTTTGAGAAAAATTGGGTTGCTTGTCTTCATCTTCATCATTATTATATCAAAACTGTCGATGGAAGTGGGGTTTTTGGTTGGAAAAAATATGGGATCATGCACGCCGGTGCAGGAATGAAAGATGATGAGCTCAGAACCTTCGAATCAGAATATTGATGGGTCGTTCAAGCATTTACCGCCAGCTGGTAGAATGTCTGCCACTCTTTGGGAGATTGATGGTTTGCCTTTGCAAGATTGAAGAGAGAGAATGTGAATGATGAGGTTTGAGAAGTAGGATATTTCAGAAAATATATAAAAGAATTTTAAGTGTTCCAAATTGGGTTCAAAGGCCCTCATTTTTTTGATCAATCAAATAGTCATGTTCTGAGATGTGTTTGCAATTCAGTTGAAAACAAGGGTTTTTTTTTTTTTTTGTTNTTTGAAATTTTGGTCAAGTAGGTATTAGATTTTTTTGTGTGGATTGTATTGATGTATCCCTTATTTTTTTTCTTTCGTTTTGAAATTTTCAGACAATGGAACTATCAAAAGTAGCCAAAAAAGAAGAGATTCGGCTGGTTCTCAGAATACTATGCACACAGATTGTAATTTGGGTGGAGGCAAGTCTATACATGGTTGCTTGTTGGATGATGTGTGAATAATTATAATTCGAGAGGTGACAACTAGATACTCTGGTAAGCTAATAAACCCAGTGCTGATGATAAAACCTCACAGTGCTCGGAGGACTGCGAAATTACAAGTGGGCATCAAACTAAATAAACCGTGTGAAAAAGACACAATCGCCCTCAAAATTCCACCCTTCTAAAACCTTGGAACCTTCTTTCTTGTAGTTTATAGGTTAGATTAATGAAAATGCAAAGTTTGTATGGAGGTACTGCACACAAGTTTGTGCAGTTGAAAAAACATTGGATGGAAAACATTTTTTTCACCCATATATTCATTATTTGCGGAAAGTAGAGCTATCTGCTGTCCTTGATTTATATCTGGGCTTTTCATTGTTGCTTCATTTTCTATGTGTGTAAGAGTATGAATAATAATGATATAATAGATCATTCAATTCATGTAAATCTGAGTTGTGATAGTTAAGTAATGCATGGATAAAATATCAGTTATCTACAATAATATAAGATATTATCAGAGTGTCAATGTTAGAATGCATATCAAATTGTAAAGCCTTCAGGTATTCATAATGATTTATTTATTGACAATTGTAAACGATAAGAATTTGTCTCAAAACTCAAACTGTGTGGTGGGAAATATTCTTTCAAACAGAACAAAAAATCTGTTTTAGGTCTTAGCTCCATTTTTAATATATATATATATATATTTTTTTTGGTACTTATTTTTAATTTTGTGAAAGAGTGACATGAATGTGTGTGTGTGTGTGTGTGTTTTGCAGATACAGTCCTGGTGAATTTCCTCTACCTAGTGAGAATATGTCGGCTGAGTTTTACCGAATGGCCTCCGGAATGCTTAGGGAAGCAGGCTACGAGCATTACGAAATCAGCAGCTACTGCAAGCCCGGATACCGTTGCAAACACAACAGCACATACTGGAGAAACGAGCCCTACTACGCTTTCGGTCTAGGCTCGGCAAGCTTTCTTCGTGGAGTGAGGTTCTCAAGGCCGAGGAGGCTCAAGGACTACGTGGATTACGTGAAAACTTTGGAAGATGGATCGACTGATTGTGTGGGCCCCACAGATGCTAAGGATTTGGCAATGGATGTTGTGATGCTCTCTCTTAGGACAGCCGACGGCTTGGATTTGAGACGTTTCAGGGAAGCTTTTGGGGACTCTGTCACGCGTTCCATTTGCGAGGTCTACACGCCTCATGTGGAGAGTGGGCACGTCATTTTTTTGGACGAGCAAGAAAAATGTGAAAGTATTCCGGGTGATGGGTGTGGATTTATAAGGCTGAGTGATCCGGACGGTTTTCTGTTGTCCAACGAGCTCATATCTCTTGCTTTTGGTGCCATTTCTCCATGAAACTTTTCCCTTTTTAACTTTTCCTTTTACTGTTATGAAATCAATTTCACCAACTGCACATCAACCATGTCTATTACATTTGGCCTTGATTTAAAGGTGAAAACTTTTATGAGTAGAGAGTAGTTAACATTGTTAGGAAAAATGGTATATGTGATTTTTGTGGTTAATTATGAGGTTAGAATTTGTTGATGCCTAGATTTGTATGCTTTGAATTGTATAAAGGTCGAGATTTTGATATGAAGCTTGGTTATTTGGGTTTACGGAGCTGAGCTCCATTAGAGTAGTCTTTAGAACCCAACCTGTGCATAGAGATGTTTGTGCATTCGAATTATATTGGCATTTTTGGGTGGCTTCTCTGTCAGTGAACATCGTGAAATGTTCTTACTTGATCTTCAGTCCAAGTCTTGGACGAATATAGCAGTAAAATGTATTCAGGAAGGCCTTCTTGTTCGTAGCACAATAAATGTGGTTGGTGATGAACTTAATCGTCGGTGGCGGGGCTTCACAAAGTTGAGTGAACCCATGAATATTGACTTGCTTCAGTTAGTTTCCTTGTGCAAAGATACAGAATCTAGGACATCTGATGAAAAGCACATTGAGTATGAAATGGAGCCAAAGAGTGGTGCCGCCCATTATCTCCAGAGTAGAAATGATCAAATAAGTTAATGGATTTGCTAATATTGATTCTGAATTTGAAGCACAGAGGATCAATGAAAACCCGGTAGTGGTGACTGACACCTTGTGTTCTCCGGATTGAAAAAACAATATGCAAAATTGGGAAAGGACTTACTGAAAAAATTTGGTTGGTTACAGCTCGAGAGGAAGGTTTACTCCCAGGAATGTGGCGTGCATATTTGTGTTCCTGTTACAGCTAAAAATGGTATGCGACATCTTGTCTTAAACGTCAGGTGCAAATTAAAGAAAAGGTGAACATTTTCTAATTAGGCAAAATAGCTCGTTATATCACGATCTTTTACCAAATTGCTAAAACATCACGACTTTTGAACCTTGGCGGAGAATATTACGACCTTTCATTTCTTTGCAAAACGATACCTGAATGTCGGAGCTCGGTCATCGGTGATTACGTGTCCGACGATACTTTATTACATGGATTTAAAAAAAATGACGTGGAAATGATTTATCCACATGTGCAATGACATGGGAACGGCTATAAATACCCAAAATCAGCTTTTTCACTTCAAATTAAAAAAAGAAAAACCCAATCCCTAATTGCTCTACAAGAACCCTAATTTTTGGGGCGACGAAATTGCAGCTCGTCTTGGGTCGGCGAAATTGAAGCTCCATGTCAATCGAATCTTCTAACTCGTCTCGGAGGACATCTTCTGGCCCAAAAGTTACATGCCGCCATGACGAGGAAGCAGTATTACTAACATCAAAAACAGAGCACAACCCAGCAAGAAGGTTTTACCGTTGCAGCCCTCAAAATGTGAGTTACTGTGGTACTTTTTTTTCTCATTTTATGTTTTATGGGTTGGATCATAAAGTACTAATTTGCATGATTTACCATTTTTTAGGACAAAGATTGTGGTTTTTTTCTTTGGTTGGATCCTGAACTTCCACCTTATCAGAAAGGGTGCTATTTGAAGTTGAAAAGGCAAGTTAAGTCCCTTGAAGAGCAATTGAGATGCAAAGAAGTTATGGAGAAACTATTGACTGAAAGGTTAGAACTTAGAAATGAAGGTTAAGGAGATAGATTTCTTGGAAATCGAAAATGATGAATTGGAGAAGAAGCTAGACATGAAGGTCAAGGAGATGGTTTTGTTTAAACTCGAAAATGATGAATTGGAGAAGAAGCTAGAAATGAAGGTTAAGGAGATGGATTTGTTTAAAATCGAAAATAATGAATTGGAGAAGAAGCTGAAAGATGCTTGTGAAAAGGGAAGAAAAGAAAAGAAACTGTTATTGTTTTTGTGTGTCTTGGTTCTTGTCTGTGGTTGGTTGATGATGGCTTGATGATTAAGTGAAGAAGATGATGGTTTTTTTTTCTCTTGTATCCAAAATGTTGTTGTATCCAAATTGGAGCTTTGTTTTGGTTTTGTAATGAACATGATTATGCTATTATGTTGATGATTTATTTTGGTGAAGGTGATTGTACATGATGAGGCTAATAGCCATTCTTATAGTTTTGTTCTGTCCCCAACAAACCACAACAAACCCAACACCCTGACCCCTCAGCTCCAGATATGAATGAACCTCTTTACTTGCATGAAAAAATCATTGTGTGTAAACAATCTAGAATGAAATGAAGATGAACTTAAATGAACCTTTGCTTAACATTCCAAAAGTTGCATCAATATGATATTTTTAGACCATACAAAGTGCCAATTTGTTGAGTTACACCCCAACCATAGAAAAACAACAAACAAAAGCTTGTTCACAAACTGTCAATCAACACCACAAAATTTCAGCCAACACCACAAACATAATCCTTGTTCTTAGCCACACAAAACATTGGATAACAAGAAAAAGTTCTCTAATCTATACTAGTTCTTCTGAACTTTGGACTGCTTGTTCACTCTTTTTCTTCACTTCGCTTCGTTCGTTCGCTGAGAAAAATGTCAGTTAGGGCATTGGATTGGTTTAATCCCCAGTGGTGCCGATACACTCCCGACAGAATTCCTGAAAGAGAAATAATAGTTAATCTTGTCCAGGGAGAAAGCTGTATCGTCATCACTCTCTTGAGTTCCACAGATTTCCTCAACACTTGAGCCACTTCTTTTCTTCTTATTGTTAGCCCTAGTTGCATTTGCCGGAGCCCTTCTATTTGGCACAAAATGAACCCTCTTCTCTCCTGGCATCTATTCAATAGAACAAGAAATTTGATGTTAAAAATATGAGAAACATATTCATCAAACACTCAATTCAGATTCACATCATATATATACATATTTAATGAACATATACCTTCATGTATATGTTCCCAGTTTCCTCAGAGACCATTACCCCATAACCTTTTCTTGCCTGTAATGTTGATTATCTCAAAATTTGATGTTAAAAATATGAGAAACATGTACTCAGAACACTCATAATGCTTAAAAGGTTAGAACTTTGGATTACCTGTGCCTTCTCCTTCCTTATTACCCCAGCAGATGTCATTGAACTAGTAGAGGCTGCTCTAGCAGGATTTCTTCTTCTTCTTCCTGTTTGGAGATTATTCTGGGCTACATGTTGATCTCTACTTACTTGTTCTGAGATGTCACCTCCTTTTTTAGGCCTTCCTCTTGGTCTCTACAAAAAAGAAAAAAAACAAAAACAAAAACAAAAAGATATATTGCTTCGGTATGTCATTTTCAACATAAACTAATAAGATATACTCACTGGGGCTGATTTAGAGACAGGTTCATTTGAGCATGTCTTTTTATTGTGACCAGTCTGAAAACATCTTTAGCATGTCATTTTCAACCCAAACCTTCTCAGTTTTGATTGGCTCCCCAACAGCCTCAGGCCACATCCTTTTCCCATTTAAAGGTTCCAAAGGGGTAGAGTAGGCAGCAATATATCTCTCCAAGCTCAAATAGGGATGCACATAATCAGTAGCATCTTCTTTTAACCAATGAATTGCAGAACATGCATGCAAACATGGAACACCAGACAAATCCCAAGCCCTACAAGTGCAACTATGACCCACTAAATCCACCACAAATTGGTCATCCAAAATGGTGACCTGAAATTTATTTCCCACAGAGGGTTTAGACACACACTCTCTACTTTTGTACTTAGACTCCTCCAGTTTCACCCTAATCCTAGGACAAATCTTATCAGTCACAGCACAACCCAATTTCAGCTTATCTACCTGTCTTTCCATAACATAAGTCCTTATCATCACCAACATTTCAACAATTGGCTTCTTTCTGGCTTTCACAATAGTACTATTAAAGGTTTCACAAACATTATTTAAAATCATTTCACACCTAAGAATTTCAGATATGAATGCCTTACAAAACCTGAAAGTTTCCTTCTCAATGAAGTCTTCATATGCCTTAACACCCTCATCTTTAAGTATAATTTGACATGTGTAATATTATAATTGGTTAGGGATGATATATATATTCAATAAATAATAAAACACATAATAGAGAATGTCTAGAAGTACTTCTAGACATAGAAAGACTTCTAGACATTTTGAATGCCACATAAGATTAATTATGTCACGTGGCAATAAAATGGAGCAATCCATGCGCCATTGGAGATGCTCTAATGTTGTCCAGTTTGTTCTCTAAGTGTTGAAAGTTAAGTTTTAAATTTTTATCATGGAGAGAAGAAGAAAGATGAGATAAAATCGACCAAGCCTTTCTTTATTCCTTATTTATTTTGAGCCGTTAGATTGTCTTTTACTTTTTGTATAATCAAAGGCTAGAAAATAGCTGTTGGCGTTGTTATAAGTTACTAACAGCAGCCCCCTGACCCACCATTGAAGGCATAAATTTTTAATTTTCTTTCTCAAACCCAAATGATAACTGAACAGCCCGAGAAGGCTTCCGGATGGGGAATCACAGGGAACAAGGGTCGCTGCTATGATTTCTGGATGGACTTCAGTGACTGCATGTCTCGATGTCGGAAGCCCAAGGACTGCACTTTCCTCCGCGAGGACTATTTTGAGTGTCTACACCACTCTAAAGAGGTATATCCAAGTGTTCGATTAAGCTATACGCTATATGAAGAAACAATCTATTCATCATTATTCCACAATTTTTTGCTCTGTGGATCGTCGATTGTGTACTTGGGTGTGTGAAGATTGAGACTTGCTGGTTTTAATTAATGGTTAATTTCTTTTCTTTTTTTCTTTTTTTTTTCTCAATCGTGTTTTGATTCTCTAGCATTTGATATCCTAACATTGAGCACTGTGGTGAAGTAGAAATACTTTGAAATAAACGAATGTCAGATCTGATGTAATCTAGTTTATGATTTCAGTAAACAAAAGTGAATGGAGTTGCTTATATTATGTCTTCCATAGTAGTTAAGGTAGTGTTATGGGTTGATGATGTGCAGTTGAAGTCAAATTTTCCTAGTTCAGATGTTATGGTGAAGTAAACCGAGAGTTAAACTTGCAGTGCACAATATGCAGTATGAATGTATTGTGGTCTGATGACATTGTACTGAAGCGGGGTAATTTTGGTTGTTTTACATTCTTGAGGTGTAGTTTTCAGCTTGAAAGTTTCTCTTTAGGGTACTGGGATTGACATATTTTATCTTTCCACCTGAATGTCTTTCTGGCATCACGATCTTGATTTAGGCAGTAAAATCTAACTTATAAAGTTTTTAAAGCATATGCACGTGTTTTTATTTACTATATCCGATTTAAATTCAATAACCATTCCCTACCGTTGTTTATACTTCTTAATCCTGACATTGTGTTGTAGATATAGATCATTTTGTCGAATGTATTTTTGTTCGATTGCTATTAGATAATGTAATCAGTGATACAACCAATGCCTTACCTTGATGATGCTGATGATTATTAGGAATTTCCTAACAGCAGAAGTTCGTTATGAGAATACCAGATTACAACTTGAGTAGTTGCTACTACGATTAAGAAATTATAGCCCCCTGACTCTGAGTTGGCTTTGAATCATCAGTTGCCTTGTCTTGATGAAGTTTTTTGTTTTTTCTCCTCTCCGTGCCCTCTGTTAGCCGTTGTGGTAGTATGAGACTCTAATGCATGTATCATAACTATATTTCTGGAAATAAAGAGTAATACTCATTTTACTTTTGGAAACTTATCACTTCAAAACGTTATGCATATTTTCTAGAACTGTCAAATATCTTAAGGCTGGCCTTGTCTTAGAAACATTTTGGTCCGCCTAACATATGTGCATATGTTTTCGAATATACTGAGATTATTGTACTTATTTTTACAGTTCAGACGCCGGAACCAAGTGTACAAGGAGGAGCAGCGTCAACTGAGAGCAGCTGGGGAGAAGGCCAAGGGAGGTGGAGATGATCTTCATCATTGAGGATATCGTTATTATTTTTCTCTTTGCTTCGTACGGCTGAAAAGAATTGGAATCGGTCAGGAAGTAACTGAATTACTTGAACTTTTATTGAAAAAAAATAATTAACGAATTGTCTTGTTTGTAATATTGCTGTATTGTGCATCTTGTTTGTATTGTTGTATTGTTTGTATTAACGAATTGACTTGTTTGTATTGTGATTTTTTTGGTAAATGCTATGAGGTGCATGTTGCATTGCATCTTGATGTATTGCCGTTTCTTGAAGGCTTTGAAGCATTCTTCTGTTGATCCACTTCACGGAAACTTCTTTTACAACATTTTGTCAAGTAAATGATTATAATGTTTGCTGTATGGTGGGAGAGGGTGAAGCTATGGTCTTTCTATTCAGATTGTAGCTGTTATTATTGCTCCTGTTAAAGCGAGCACAATACCTATCCTGAGATCTAAGTGTTGTGCTTTTATGTATAAGTTGTGGACATTATGAAGTTGCATAAATCCTTTTAATGGGGGCATTGTTTTTCAGCCTGTTTCTTGGTTCTTGTCACCATGGTCCAAATGATACATGATGGTTGCTGGTAAAATAAATCCTTTTAATGGGGGTGTCGATTTTGAGTAGAGTAGAACATATAATGATAGGTTGGATTTCCTCTCACTAATGTTTGGGTGTTGGATGGATATATGAAGTTGAAGAATAGTATTAATTAAGATGTATGATGTAGGTGGAAGGCAACCTTTCATGCCTTAATTATGGTGCTGAACTTGTGTGATCATGTGACAGTTGATTTCTAATGCCTTTGGATTTTGTATTAGGTAGTCCTTTGTTTGATTTTACCTAAGTAAAAAATGACGTGATTTATCTCTCAATGCATCAACTAAATGTTCTAATAGTCGCTAGGCGCGCGACCAGCGCCTAGCGCCTAGGCGGGGCTTAAGCGACGTCTAGTGGGGGTCTAGAAATTAATATTAAATACTTTAGTTTTATTTATTTTAACTACCTACAAA